TGCAGCCCGGGGGGACCCCACGCTGGGGCAGGGGAGGAGTGTGAGGAGTCCTCCCCTGAGGAGGAAGGAGCAGAACAGACAAAGGGTGATGAACCGACCACAACGCCCATTCCCCATCCCCCTGCACTACTGGAGTGGGAGGAGGGAGAGATATTGGGAGTGAAGTTGAAACTGAGAAACAGGGAGGGATGCAAGGAAGGTGTTTTAAGATATAGTTTTTATATCTCATGTTCTATTCTGATTTAATTGGTAATAAATAGAAATAATTTCTCCTACTTGAGTTTGTTTTGCCTGTGACATAATTAGTGAGTGATCTCTCCCTGTCCTTGTCTTGATCCACAAGTCTTTTGTTATATTTCCTCTCCCCTGTCCAGTTGAGTACAGGAGTGATAGAGCAGCTTCGGTGAGCACCTTACATCCAGCCAGGGTCAACCCACCACATCATGTCATGTTTTTGCATAGTTTCCAGTTGTATCTGCAGCTCTGTTAGAGTAACTCAAAATTGTAGTTTGTTTTTTTTTGGTTTTTTTTTTTTTTTTTTTTTCATTTAGAAGGTTATTTTTTAATATTTCTAGTTAAATGATCTTCGTTTTCCTTGGTTTGTTTTTCATGACCTATTTCCATTTTATTTCGGTCACATGCTGAAATAAATTTACTGTCAAAATATTATGTACCTTAAGTAACATTCCTCACTCTTGACTGGAAGTGGAAAATAATAATGCAAAATAGCAAGGTGAGAACAAAGAGTATGAATGTAAGAGGAAGGGGTCAAAGTTTTCCATGTTGCGTTAACATAGTATTGAATATAGGCGTGTTATTCAATAGTAGAAAAAAACACTTTTGTTTTCCATGAAAATTAGTGATATCTTAAAAAAACCCCAAAACAAAACAACAAACCTTTCTTCACTAAGATGAAACAAGAACTTTAATGGTTTAACAGAAAAAAAAAAAAAAAAAAAAAAAAAAAAAACTGGATATTTATTTGTTCTAGAATAGATAGGTCCAATTTAGAATAAGTTTCGAAATGAAGTTTTCATAGCCCGTGATGTTATCATGAAAAATACCAAATTACTGATTTGTTGGCTTTCTTTGTTTCTTTTTCTCTATATAAATTTGTGTGAAAACATGTTGACACATTTATATCTAGGTATATAGATAAGACATGAATGCACTGGCATGTATATAATATATGTTTCTATGTATGAATATATTTATAAAGGCAATGAACATTTTGACTAAAAAGAATGTTTCTCAGCCTGAAACACTTTTCTTAAATAAAGTTCCATGGAAACTGCTATTTTCTTGTGAAACATTTTCTGCTTCTTAAAAGTATTGCAAAGAATTGTAAATGAGGGGGTTTTTTACCAAATTTATCTGAAAGACATGACCTAACTGTAAAAATTTGAAGAATACATAGCCACGAGGCATAAGTACATGAGAAATAAGGCAGAAATTGATCTTGTCTGTGTAGACCTATGAATGATCAATAAGCAGTTACGAAGAAAAAAAAAAAAATCTAGTTAGAAAGCAAATACCTTACAAGGGCTAAATCACTGTGCATTCCAACTCCAATTGTAATCTGTTCTTATGCAAATAATTTAGTGAGATATCATCTGCTGAGGGAGGACATCTGTGATGAAAGAGGTCTCAATATGAGAGAGCTTAAAACCAAAGGAAGTGTGAAGAACACTCGGTACCAAGAAGCTTGTAGTCACAATGATCTGATGACATGGAAGTGAAAAGCACATGCCTTTTCTGGAAGAGAATAATTATATTTATATTAAAATCCCCGTAACATGTAGAACTCATCGATCAGGTGCCTTATGGTGTTACAGAAGGCGGCAGCTCAGTGTGAGGCTCATCAAGGACAAAATGCCAGTGGTCGGACGCACCTGCCACTGAAAGCGTACATCATAGAGACAGTTGGCAGACAGGGATATATTCAAGCGTGGCATTCAGATTTTGGTCATTTAAGGCATATATACAGTCCGTGATGATAATATATTGACCGCTGTTTGAATACCTCAAAGGCAGTCAGTGTAGACAGTAAGATCTCACTTGTTCATTGAAAAAGATCTGGATGTTTCTGCTCTTGGCGGGTAGGTTGTTTTGGCCATCCTATGTGTTGTTCAAACTCTCAATTTATTTCATCTGTTCTTTCTCCTGAAAGCTTTTTCTTGCCCTCAAGTCTCACATTCAGTCTTTTCATTCTGCATGTAACGCTCAGCCCAGAACCAGATTTACAGCATCATTTTGGAGGACATGGGGAGATAATATATTATTCAAATATATAAAATGCATCAAATCTTGGTTTCGTATTAAAGGCACTTTATCTAATAAGAGAGGTGATCATCTCATCAGGCGATCAACTCTGACACATGAAAGTTTCCTACCTGCATGTTGGCTTATCAATTTTTACTGAAAGGTGAATATTTGAAAGGTCCTGGGGACTTGTTTTAATCAGCCGCTTTGTTCCCTAGTCTTGTTCCTAATGTTTGGGTACAATATAGATATAACAGCCTTATCCAATTTCTTCTTAGCTACAAAAACCCTTTTGTTTCTGGTTTTATTCTGGTATCACAGGGCTTAGACTGTAAGACCTGAACTACTGGGACTTAAGCTCCCGGGGCATGCTTGCAACTAGTAAAATCACGTGCTTTGTTAGCAACACAGTTTTCTCCTTGTAAGTATACTCAGAATATCTTTGACAAGGATTTTGTTTTCCCTTGATATTTTAAGTTTAAAAAATAATGGTTGCCAGTACTTGCTCTGTATACAGAGAACTCAGATGAGCCATGACTCACTCTAAATATTTCTTTTGAGGTTAGCGTAACTGAATTGCTTTTCAGGTGGAATTCATCAGGTCCCTGGAACGTGTCTACAGATTCTTCCAGTTGCATTGTATTGCTCTTCTTCAGAAGGTTAAATGTCTTGATTTGCATTTGCATGAGTTGATTGAAGTCTTGTTCTTGTTTGCATGCATAACAGTTGCATTTTCTCCTCCCTTTTTTCACTGTAGTTCTTAGTTCATGTTTCTTTCAGAGCCATTGTTATATGTGCTTAATTTTCAAATAATTTTACATATATTTTCCATAACATCTTTTTCCGTTGTCACTGTGAATTGTGATAAAAACGTTGGCTGCATTTTCTTCCCTGCCCATTTAATAGTCTGCTCACCTTTTGAAATCCACTTGCATCTTCTGATGGAGGCTGAATGAAATGCTGTCTTCATTTAGAAAATTATTCCACGGAGTAGCTATGTCAAATTGCTTTTTCTAGGGGGGAAAAAAAAAAAAAAAAAAAGAAAAAAGAAAAAAAGAAAAGAATCTCACATTTTTATCAAATCATCTTCTAAGCAAATTTTTCAATGGTACCATTATACTGATCTGTGTAGGAGTTTTCAGAATAAAGGGTCCTCATTTTTAGTAAAAGAGCTATTTTCTCTTCTCCACTATGCCATACTCCTTAGAAATGAGTGAAATTATTTAAATAGATACATTTTAGGAATAACTCATATTTTGATAAAGTATATCTCATCTATATTTTTCTTTATCAAATTGGGGATTTCGCTGTGCTGACTTGTTGAGATAAGTGACTAGAAGGTTTAAGCATGAAATGGGTGAAGACGCTTAGGTCCTTTCACCCGCATGCATCCATAGGCTTGTTTTATGGTAGAAAAATGAAGGTGGGGTTAGTTTGTTTTGTTTTGTTTTGTTTTGTTTTTTGTTGCTTGTTTTGTTTTTTTTTTGTTTTTTTTTTTTTTTGTGGGTAATAAAATCACCATTCCAAACTCAGATAACTAAACTAAAACATCTTTTGGCTACTTGCCGATGTGATCTGATGTATTTTTTTCTCCCGGAGGGTTAAGTGCTAACTACTGTTACTGATCATTCCCCTCTGAAAAGTAAACCAGGTCTGCAGGTGCTTAGTGCAAATACAACTGCAGATTTTGATATCAATTCGGAGTAAACACTGGGGATTTGTGAACAGGTCTTCATACCATCTACCCCACCTGAACACATTACAAACTAGGAGCATCACTATCTTTGTCTCTACAAACACCAAACGCAAACACAGTCAGCAGATCAGTCACATCATAAGTGATGTGAACTGTGCCATGCGGACACCACTTTTCTGATATCCACCATCTCAAAAAGCCTGTGGTGACTAATATCCTAACTTATTCCTTACACTTAGGGGTGGAGGGGAATTAGGACTACAAGCATTAAGCTAACACCATATGAGTGAAACCTGGACTTGGAAGCCCAGCGCAGATTGATCAAGGTGGCTCATAACATTTTAGACCTAGTCTGGAAGCAATATAATCACATTCAGGTGATGCTGTGCCAGACAAACATAGCTCTCTTTTGGACTGGACTATGTTTGAGTATTATCAACATCCATGATTCATCGTTAAATGAATTCTGGATGTAAAAGTCAATGTCGAAACTACCTATGGTCCCTAAAACTCTAGATCTTACCTGCTACTTCTCTGTACCACCTTACCTTTCTCTACCTTCCCTTTCATTTAGTGAGACTACAAAGCCAGAGGGAAGACAAATTACCTCCAGTGGCTTATATATCTGAGATACAGAGCCTTGTATAAAAATTATGGTGGATGTACACGTGATTGATTAGAGCATGTTGTTTGTATTGTATTTGGAAATGAAAATGTAGGAAGGCTGGAATTTCAATAGCAAAATGGAAATGGCTGTCATCAGGATTAATGTTAAATGATCATTCATGACTGTCTTATCTTACACTAAGTTTTCTTTAGTGGAATTTTAATAACGTAGACTTTATTGTGCATTACAGCGATAAGATCCTGCTAATGTTTATTTCAGCTGGTTAATTTACAGTAGCTAATTTAAAAGGTAGCTATTGTATTAAGGAATCTGTCCTGTTGGATTGATAACCCAGCTTTTAGGATATTATTTCCACAGGAAACAGATCTTCATCTTTTCTCCTCATCTGTGCCCTTTCTCTCCATCTTCTAATTCAAGTGTGAAGGGAATTTCCTTCGTTTGTAGGCACAAACACCTTCACCACACGATTTATGAGGCCATCTGTAAAGTGAACTTATTATTTTGTCTTGTAAGTATTTCTATAGAATTTTTCAATATATTAAGCTTGTATGAAGTTATAAATGTAAACTCTGTCTGATATAATCGTGTCTTGGAGAGAGATTTTTTTCCCCTGAAAATATTTAATGTATTTACTCACAAGTTTTACCATCAAATATGATCATTCAGCATACAACTCATGCATGCTTATAACACTTCACAAACACTTTTCTCACCACTGAAATTGAACCACTGAGTGTTGAATGTGGCAGCTATTTAACAACTCTCATCTGTGCAATGTGAGAGTTTAAACTGAAAATGGCCTTACTACTTTCCCAACTTTAATGAATATTCAAACACTTTGCATCAGCTGTCATTTAGTTTCATAAACTCCTTTGTGTGAGGAACTGACTGCCATCTCTGCTGTCACTCTGAACTGAACCCTGCTATCTTCTTGAAAGATTTTATTCTATACTGGCTTTCATATACTTCTCGGCACTATAGTATTTAGCGAAGTTTCAAATAATCCATTGAAAAAATGTGGCTGACGAAATTAAATTCTCTGGCTGGTTCCTATAGCCAACTCTCATCTGTTCGTCAGTCACAGGGAAAGATATAAGAAACATTTAGCAGTAAGGGGTTTCAAACGCTCACACATCTTTTGCACTCACTTTTTGCGCACATCCAGACAATAAAGTTTTACTGGCATAAATGTTCACAGTGAATGAAACTCAAGGTCTCATATGAACGTCTGCAGAAGGTGAGATTTAAATCTGCCCAGGAAAACATCCTGTGGGAAGTTCTGTGTTCATCCATTCAAAGAACAGGAAGATAGGAAAGATGGCATATTTTCTAATCAAAAGTGATGAGCAACACATGTTGAATTTCAAGTATTTGCACTCAGTCCCCAGGGTAAAAAACTAGAAGATGACAATGGTGAAATAAATTCATATGGCATCCAATCTAATACTCATTAAAATAAATTAAAAGACAGTTTGAAATTGGACTAGGCCTGTAGGTCCCAGTCTAGTCTCACACACAAGCACGTGAGAAGTCTTATTGTCTTTAAATAAACTAAGCATGTTTTTAAAGTTATGCACACGTCTAAATGCCAAGTTGCTTTGAGGCCAGAATAAATTAAATTAAGGAAACTAACTTGCCCTCTGGAGAAAAAAAAATAATTAAAAAAGGCTAAATTTGCTTGATACATTTTAAATATTTAGCAAAATGTATCTTCCTGTTTAATAAAGATATTCAAAGAAAATTTTCTACAGAGTTTTCTCTGGCAGAATGTTAAATGGTTCATCTATTTTAAGTGGCAGAATACTAGATGACATCAGATAATTTCTCTAAATCCTTTGTTTTGTTTGCAGACGGTTTTGTTCTCTATTACTCGAGTATGCTTTTGTGAAAAGATGAGAATTATAAACCTTGCTTTTCCTCTTTCCTCCTAGAAATGTAGAGTAAAGCACTTCAACAGAAGTCTACCAATCAAAGATCCTTAAACATCATATTGTGTAACTCTATCCTCTACGCTGGATTCTGAAGGTAAAACGCATTCAGAATACATCCTTCAAACTTTTTTGTTTGTTTGTTTCTCCAGAGCCTTGTGTGGTGGGTGTTTTTTTTTGTTTGTTTGTTTTGTTTTGTTTTGTTTTGTTTTTTTTTATTTCTATTAAAATATTAACCAAATCTGTTAAGTTTTGTTTCCATAAGTTAATCAGAGCTATGTGTTATGGCTGTAGACAAATTTTGTTGTCCTTAGGTGAAATATGACTTTACTCTGAATACAATTCGAGTAATGAACAGCCAACATCAGTAGATATGATGTTGTTTGTACTGACTTTAGGAAGACAGATTATTTAAAAATATTTCAGATGAGTTTTACATCTGAGGAGTATCAAAGCTAGGTTGAGTCTGGAATACATTGCTGAACTTATATTTTTAATTAGATAAACATGAACAAAAAGTGCACATACAAAACCAACATGAAAATGGAACTTTGCAGGTAACATAAGGAATGGACAGAGCCAATGGACCATATTAATATTGTCATTTTAATTTGAAGTTCTAGTCTTCTCTAATTGAAAATCATTGCTTACTTTAGTACTTTAATGTATCTGCACATGAAATGTGCCAATTTCCAGGTTGTTCCTCAAAGAAATCACATTTATTCTCAGAAATGTGCAATGTACGTTATTGGAATGTTTCATTTTGCTTTGATATCAACTTTGTCATGGAATGAAAGAAATTCAATTTCAGATTGTATTCAAAACAGAAATTACTGATACTTTATCTGCTCTTGTCATGACAGTTAAAGATCTTTCCATATTTCAATTCTGAAATCTTAAATTTGATACCTTACCTCCCAGACATTTAACAAAAAACAAATACTTAACAAACTTTAAGTTGAAAAAAACAACATCATGAATCTCAGCTCATTAACTTTTCTCTAACGTGTTTCCTTTGTAACTCATCACTTTGTGGATGTGCATATCCAAACATTATAAATCAAATTTCATACCTGCATAAAGCACTGTAATAAATGAGTTTATACTGGCGTAAAAATCCAGTGATGAACTGGGCTCTGATCCTGCTTATTTTGTTCTCTTGGGAAATAAGGAAGGAAGACAAAGACAAGTAAAACATCAAGTAGAAGATCAAATGTGAGACAACATAAATGGCCTGAAATTGATTCCTTTTACTTTGGTGACATTTCATTAACTTCAGTGCAGTTTTGGAGGATTTTTATAGAAAGGCAAGTGAGAAGAGAATAGGCAAAAAGGGAAGAAAGACTTTTCTTGCAGACCCCAATAGCCTGATTTGCCGAACTGTGATTTTTATTTTTTTTTAATAGAGAACAGCAATACACTACCCTCACATCTCCAAAATAACCTTGTCTCTCATCTTTTTATTCACATGTGACTTTGCAGGACATTTGTATCCAGGATTTCTGGGGAATATCCTAGCCGTGCAGCAGTCCAGAAAAAAAGGCTCATACATACAACTGCTAATCACAACTCTGGTATTTTTAAATGAAATTTCTCTTCAGCTTTCTTACTAGTCACAATAACAGGCTGTGACTACTTGATTATTCAGAAATGTTTCAGGAAGATGGTTCATCTAAGGAAACCAAATATATTGTGTGTTCTATCTACTGGGGACTATTTTTTTAGTTACTTCAACCACAACGAAATGTACAGACACACAGCCACCGTGAAGTGGAGCTTCTTAATTAAGATTAAGCAAGGAATAACAGTCTGTATTTGGAATATCCCCTGTTCCAAATATTCAGAAGGGAAAAATGAGCACTGAAACACTTCCTGACTTCAAAATCAATCTGCAACCAGAATTAGGCCAAAAATTATTTTTATTTTTATCATTGTGTGGTTTAGTACTTCTCCTGCTTTAGGAAAAAACATGAAAATTTGAGGTGGGAGACAGCTTTCAGATTCTGATATGTCTAAATGTAAGTGTCTACACGTGAGAGCCTTGAGTCAGTTGCTGAAAGCCAGACATCTGGAGCCGCTGCAAACAGAATAGTAGACCTGTGGCATCTCCACAAGTTAGGAAAGTGTGACATGTGGGCAGTGAAAACACACAACCACTGGACTGGCAGTTGCAAGCCACGTAGGATGTCCTGGAGTGTCCCAAATGACACTTGTAGCTTTTGGCAAATGAACTGAATCCTAAGATCCCATGGTAGCCAGTGGAGTTCAGATAAAGAACTCTTCAGTAGACACCTTCACCAAATAGCTCTTAAGGCTCTGTTAACTTCCCAGCCAGGGCAGATCTAATCACTATTGTAATTATCTGCACATACAGAGGTAAATTCAGGTGTTCTATTCTGAGTACCGGACCCTACTCTTATTGGACAAACCAGTGTCATGGCAGTCAAGAGAATCACTACGCTGTGACAAATGTAGAATTTCTCCATGATTGTAGAACAGCTGATAACAAAACATTAAGAAATCCCTATGTCTTGAAAACAAACTAATAAAATGCCCTGTAACTCAGGCTTTGTACTGTGTTCTGCATTTAAAAACTTGTCTGATACAAGAGTTGCTGCTCTTGTTCTTTAAAATCTGTGAATTTTATTTTCTTTTAAAAATACATTTTAATAGCCTTTCATGATAGTCAGTCAGTATCGGTATAAAAGCAAGTTTTATAGTCAACTAAAATCCATTAAAATCTGTATTCCTTATAGAAACATTGATGCAGCTGCTGATGTGAACAGCAGTGCCCTAAGGTATGCCTATATTATTTTGAGAATGATGCATGCTGTGAAGGGTGGTTGAGCACAAAGCTGCCAGATGCTCTCTATGAATTGCATATTTGTAGGTCATTTGTGCATTCTGATGTCTGAGGTGTAAATGATAAAATTATGGAACAAACAAAAAAAATCTGTATCCGGCCTGAAATTTGCCTTGTGACTGCAATGATACAACATTAGATCAGCTTCTAATGTGATTAAATTTAATTCCGAAACAGCAGACTTGTGTCACGATTCCACCTGTTGTCAGCTGCTGATAATGCCGTTTTCTCTACCTTGTTTTCAAAGGTTGCAACTGTGAAGCAAATGTTGCTTACATGTATTTATCGATCTCATGAGTAACTTCCAGCTTCATTCATCCTGGAGCGCTCTTGATTTGGTTTGTGAGACGAGTGACATGTGGAAGGGACCAAATTCTTCTTAGTCTTTATTAAAATGCAAATGTGAAGTTATCAATCATTGTGGTATTAGCTAGAGACCTCAACAAACGTTTAAGCCCGTGTGCTCTTCTGTCAGCGTAAAGAGGAACTCCTAAAAGTCTTCTAGGATAAATTCACAGTCAAAAACATTGAGGTGGAAGGAAACACTGAGTTGGAGATGTTCACAGCAAATATTCCTATATGATATGGAATATGTTAACCAATCATCTGGAGACAGATCTGAAATTAATCCTGATAGAATTCTGAGATGATCCAAAAATCTGTGTTGTATTAAATAGAAGGAGGGTGCACCAATCACACGAAGAAGTTTGTTTCACTTGATGACTTTGGATCTCTGAAACAAAGTCGTGTCAGCACAGATGAATAAAACATGCCAGTCGTGCAGAATGGGAGATGGTGTGCTGGAAATTTATAGGGAGGTATAAGGATTTAAATGTTACAAGAAAATCAGACTTTTTGTGCAATGATGTGACTGTGATTCCTGATGTACAAAGCAAGGATTAGTTCATTGAAAATGAAAGTTATCAGTAGCCTTCTTGTGGCATCTGTGAGCCCAATATTAGAATATGGTGTACTCAGTGAGTGCCCAGTGATGTTAGCAGGATTTTAAAAAGATGTAACTTGCACAGACAGGAGTCACAAATAAAGGGTTTCAAAGACTCGAGAAATGCCAGAGTGATAAATGTTTGTTTTTTCACAAGGAGATTGAGAGGTGACTTCATTAGACCTCATAAATACTCTCACTGAAGAAAATGCCAAGTATGAAATGATATTCACTCCAATAGGATATAATGGTTGGACTTTAGAACAGATTTATACAAATTCAAAACAAAGCACAAATCCTTAACACGGAAGAAAATTGCAGTAAACTGAAAAAACAGTGATAGCTTCTCAGTCTCCTGAAATCCTCAAAATTGTACAAGTGTATGGAGTAACTGCTGTCAGTCAAAAGGTAATTCAATGACATTACGTGATCTGTAGTATATAAGAATCTGACTGGGTGATCTAGTGACTTGAAAGTTTTAAAGCTCTGAAAAGAGCTTGGGCAGGCTGGTAGGCTCTTCTGGGATACTACGAAGTAGAGGAATCAGGAAGTCTGAACAAGAGGCATCTTGTGCTGAGAAATAGGGAAGAGGTCGGGGTAGACCACAGAGAAAATTGGTAGCATAGCCAAAGTTTGAGACGGGCTGAAAGAAGCATGAAGTTCCCTAAGAATAAAAAAGCAACTTTGAACTTGATCTCAAAGCCAAAGACCTGCTATGTGAGTATTAGAAAGTGTTGCTGAATGCTCACACACGTTATGACTAAGACTATTGACCCTGCCAGTTTTGTTTTTTTTTCTTTCGTTATACGTATCACTTCTAGCAATCTTAATTTGACTTTCTTTCAGGAGCAAAAATAGGCTCAAGATACCAGAGTAGATGGTCCTCTGAGACTTAAATGACATTTATATAGCTTAAGCCATGCTTCTGTAAAAATACCAGGGGAGGAATACAGTTTCCATGTCCAAATACACTAGTCTGTTAGTATATATCAGAAATAAATACTTTCTAGAAGCACTAAGATATATATATATATATATTTATATATAATAAATAGGGCATGGCAAAATATATTAGGAAACCAAAATCTGAAGCTCTCATGGGATAGCTTGTTGTCCTGGCTTCAGCTGGAATAAAGTTAATTTTCTTCTTAGTAGCTGATACAGTGCTGTGTTTTGGATTTAGGGTGTGAATAATGTTGATAAGACACTGATGTTTTAGTTGTGGCTAAGCATTTGTATTGCACATCAATTGTTTTGACTTTTCTCTCATTATTTTCCATTCATTTTCTGT